CCTCATCCACGGATCTTGAAGATGCATCTGAGATGGCTGAGAAGTAAACCTTGATCTGTTAATTCGATGTCCTGACCTATGAATAGGTTGCAACCCACAATCTGAGAAAGACATCTAATATACAATATTATAATACGTATACTTCTATTTTTCTTCTAATTTTAGGACTTCACAACTTCCAGCACTGAGTCCAAAATAGCTCAGTTCATGTAATTACCAACTGTCTTTATTATTATTACATGCACAGAAGCCAGAATGAGAAAAAACAAAAAACAAAAAGCAAAAAACTCCTGCACACAGACAGGGAGAGAACACCTGTGGTCTCATGGCAAAAGCCTCTCCCAAGGCTACGGATTAAACTAGCTCCACCCTCCTCCTGTCTCCAGCTGCTCAGATGGTCTGAGTCTTCACGAGGAGGCATATGACGTGGTATTTAGCTGTGCAAGCTCCCGAGTTGGGCTGCCTGGGCTTAAATGCCAGGCTCACCACTTCCCAGGTACGTGCCTTTGAGAAAGCCACTTAACTTCACAAAGCCCCACTTTCTACGTGTGTAAAATGAACACAAAAGCTATTTCTATTCCCATGAGGATGAAATGAGAAACACGGGTAGAGTTTTTAGCACATCCTTTTGTATAAAGCCCACTCACCAGGTGAATATCTTGTCCAGGCCTCAGGAATGTGGTGGCCACTTTCCTTAAAGACCCTGTCCTGTAAGACAGCACAAGACTGAGCCTAGAGGGAAAAACAGAGACCAAGTTGACTTCACCCAGACCCATGTGTCAGTGCCCAGAGAAGTAGCTGGTCCAAATAGGTGCTCAAGAAATAGCTGAATGAATGAATGAATCAGTCAATGAGTCGATGTGCTTACACACAGTTTCCATCAAGTCCACTCACAAAATGCCAGCTTAAAAAACCCTGTGCTCAGAGCCAGAATTCAGCAACATTGTCCATCAGACCCACACCAGGATCCATGCTGGCCTCTGCCATGGCCACCTGCCTGGGAAGGCGGGGCCAGATCTGAAATGGGAGATGCAGAAGCCAACCCCAGATGGGACCCCTTTAGGGAACTGTATCTCTGGCCTTGTTCATCAGTGACTCCCAACTCTGGTTTCTGGCACTTGCCTTGAGGCACCGTTCACAGGAGGCTTTTACGCTATTCCTTGGTTTCTTTCCAAAGGGCTTTCATTAGAAACATATTTCCATCCCACAAAAAGCATGGAGCTAAACCTGCAGCTTCCCAAAAGGTGGAAGAAATGTTCATGGAGCCATTAAGTTGCAGGAAGGCGAATGACCACGAGTCACAGCATCCCAGAACCATGGTCCCTCGACTCGACAATGAGGACGTGTCTGCCACATCTAGATCTCTGTAACGCTCTAACCTGGGCTTAAAGATCTGGCCTAGCAGAATCCCAAATAGAAATAGGGACAACAAATAACTCTGACTGGCTTTCTGCTTTTATGATAATAATAAACACTATGACTTTACTACTCCAGGCACTCTGTATTCTAGCCCTTGCAAGAATCTGTCCAAATGACACTTGTCACCTTGAGAAAATGACCAGTGGTCACTACTTGCTAGCTAAGGAAACCAAGGTTCAGAGAGATGAAGGAATTACCCAAGGACACATGGCAACGGAGTCAGATGGAGGATTCTCCAAGCTCAGGTTCACTCCACTCCTCCCAGGTGTTACCTCTCTTCAAACCCTGGATCCAGACAAAAAGCCCTTCTGACCCTACATGCATTCACATCATCAGAATAAAAAGTGAACCTTCCATTATCTGAAATGGAAAGCCATCTACTATAATCACCACTTTCCGCACAGGCTTGTCCAAAACCACCATCCACAGTGGAACAACTGGCCATTCTGGAGAGTTCTGTGCTGACTCTGCAATTGTCCCAGAATTGGCAAATGCCTCTGTGGTGGGCTGAAGGGTAGCCCCCCTACAATATATGTCCATATCCTAATCCTAGAACCTCTGAGTGGCGGAAGATGTGATTAAGTTAAGGATCCAGAGAAGTGGCTGATCCAGGATCATACAGGTAGAGCCCAAACACAATGGCATGTATCCTTATAAGAGATGGGCAGACACAGAGGAGGCAGCGATGTGAAGATGGAGGCTGAGGTCTGAGTGTTGTAGCTACAAGACCAGGAACACCCAGGACTGTAGGCAGTCATCAGAAGCTGGAAGAGGCATGGAATGATGAGGCTACAGAACATCCAGAGAAAGCAAGCACTGGCTTCCGGGCTTCCGGGCTTCCGAACTTCTGGCCTCCAGAGCTGTGAAAGCTATTGCTTGAAGCTACCAAGTTAGTGTTAGTTTGTTACACCAGCCACAGGTAACCAATACATCCTCCCAATATGCAAACTTCCTCGGCCAGGTCCCATCAGAGGTCAGGAATGATACGGCTCAAAGATTGAGTTATGGGCTCTGAGATGTGGTCTTTAGGGTCTCTTAGTAACAAACAAACAACAAAAAAAATCCACCCATTTTTTCATCCCTTTCATGGATGAAATAGGAAGATGTTCAGTTTGAAAACAAACTCCTGAGGTAGGAAGAAACCAAATTGACGTCAAGAGGTGAGTTGGAAGGCAAGAACTTGGCCTGCCATTTGACTGGAACCCAGACTGTGGAAAATCAGACAAGCTTGAGGGGAAAGGAAGTTCCACATTAGGGTGGAGAGAAGACCCCCAAAGCACTGCTCAAATGTCGTAGGGCAGACAGTACGCGTGGCTTGGGTGATCCATATTTTGAATTTTATTTTATTTTTAGGGGGAAAAATAATTAGGGTTCATTCTTTCATTCATTTATGATTAATGGAGGGATTGGGGATTGAACTCGACCTTGCGCATGCTAAGCATGTGCTCTACCATTGAGTTATACGCTCCCCCACTGAACTTTGAATTTTCGAAAGAGATCTGTACTCACTCAGGCTGGTTGATGATGGAGGAAACACCGTCACTCCCAGCTGGCTGTTTTTGCCTTTGTAACAAGGGAAATGAGTTACATCCCAGTATGGCTATAAGGATTGAGGAAGTAACTGAGATCTTGGAGGTCCTGAGAACACAAAATCTGGAAGCATTATGAAGTTTCTATTCTCTTGCTTTACCCAATCCAGGTGTTGAGTTGGCCAACCTCGTTCATTCCTTCCTCCAACAAATATATATGGCGCACCCCCAAAGTGTCTGGCACTCAACTAGACATCTAGTGAACACAAATACCACAATCCTTTCCTCCTGGGAGGCTGTCTAGACCAATGGGTCTCAATTGGGCATGATTTTTGCCCCCTAAGGGGTATTTGGCAATGTCTGAGACATTTCTGGTTGTCATAACTGGCGGGGAGAGGGTGCTACTGGCATCTAATGGGTAGAGACCAGGGATGCTAACAGCCTACAATGCACAGGACGGCCTCCCACAACAAAGAATTATCTGGCCCAGAATGTCCTAGGGAGTGGTGCTGTTAGCTGCCTAAGTAGGCCGCATCCACTGACAAGACGGTGGATGAGCGCATTAAAGGGAGGGAGGTAAAACTGGATACCAGCGAAGCACACAGGAGGGAGACACCACCCACCATCGTCTACCGGGACACCTGAAGGGTGAGGAGGAGGAGCGAGGCTACAGGAGCAGAGCCAGGCCTTCTGCGCAGAGGAAAACTGCATCTTTGAAAGCGGAAGACCAAAAACGCATTTAGGGGAAAGTGAGTGAGCGAGCGTGTGCGGTGGAGGGTGGGGCGGGGGCAAACAAGGAAGCCTTCAAAAGGGCCATCCCGTCGCTGCCTTTGGGAGAAGCACCATCGTCATGACTCGAGGCGTAACTTAGTATTAAGAGCATGGGTTTGGAGTCTGGTCTGAATCCAAATCCCAGCTCCACCGCCCTACAGGCTGTGCAGTCTTGGACAAGGCACAAACTCCGAGGTCCTAAATTCAGTTTTAGAAAATAAAGCAGAGGACAGAGCAGGACGATAATACCTACTCCAGGTGGCGGCGTTGGGATGAAATGAGAAAGCGCCCAGCAATGGCTTGGCACGCTGCCGCAGAGAACAGGTAACGTTACTTGCGTTTTCAAGGGTCACTCTGATCCCAGTGTGCTAAATAAAGTGGGGAAGGACAACCAGAATCATTCCTCCCCGGGAATGCAAAGCAAACAAAAACAAAATAGCAAGATTCCACCGAGCCAAACCCAGATGGAGCAAAGCAGTGCTTCCAAGGAGCGTCAAGTCCTTGACAACTCCGTGTAACCTTAAGTCAAACACGGCGGTGGCACGAACCGCTTCGGTGCCCATTGAAATCCCATCCTTTGAAGGGGAGGTTGTCTAGATGAGTGGAACTACATACACGTGCATCCATCCATCCATTCTCGCCAGTGTGAGAGATGAATGCAGTGGAAAACTTAGGAAGACCTTTATCGTGGCCCCTGGTTTGTGATGGGGGTGAACTCGCACTCTGGCCGGGGCAGAGCCACAGAACTTTAGTTTCGGGTCTGGTATGACTCCTCCATGCAAACCTGCTTTGGAAGTGCCTTGACCCAATCTTCTAAAAACCTTCCTGCCTAACAATTGCTCACCCTGGCCTCTCTCCCTGTATGTGATTCTTAGAAATTAGGATATTTTCACATCAATGATTTTTAAGTGATAAGGATGTGGTTTCTCAAATCCCCTCCTGATGAACTAAGTTTCGTTAACCAGAATTAAATCCTTTCTGCTCAAGACTGAGAGGGTCGACTAGGATGTATCAGAATGACAGTCTTTAAGCCAGAAGAGTGACAACTGCTTTCAGAAATGAACTAACCAGGTACCCAAAGTATGTCAAACAGACAGTAAGAATGAGGCGGGGTGGGGATATCAACCCCTCAAAAGAGTTCAAGACCCCTTTTTGGTTTCCAAGTCCACCCACCACCCATACCAACCACATGGTCTGAAGGAGAGATACATTTCTCTTGGTGAAGGCAGATCCACTTCCCCCAGAGATGAAACTCCAAATTACAGAAACAAGTGACCAGCCTTTATCTGCACATACTAAGTTGCTTTTATTAATCCAGAACGGCATGCTACAGATACTGTACAGCATGAACATTTATTCATTACAAAAATGGCTTCCAAACCATTAAAAATGAAATTGGAATAAGAGCATAAAACGGAACAGTAACATCACAACTGTTAGGAAACATTCAAAGTATTCACAAAAAATGTTATAGTTAGCATTTTAATAAACCAGAGAAAAATCGGAGACAGTTTTACAATCGCTTCATGTCAACTACAATGGCACTGAATGAACAGGTTTCAGCTTTATACAGCATTTTGTAACATCAACATGCCTAGGTTTTTTTTTTTATTTTTAAAGTTTGCTACCTACTTGTATGTCGTACAGGGTACATAAAAGTGGCAGCTGGTTTTTCCTTTAAGAGTAATCTAATATACAGAATTTTGGCCCTTAAGGGTTTATACCTCTTCATTTAAAATGCTTTCTGGACAATCTGCTACCAAACACGTCTTGTTATAGGTGACATTAAAACTACATACAAATCTACCTATGTAACGTCACAGCAAAACATGATGAACAAAAATTACAGCATCAAAGAGGGAGAAAGCTAAAGTTACTGAGAATTTTGGCACATAAAGTTTTGCACACAGTCAGTCCATGTCCTAAGGGTGCAGGGCACTCGACTGCAAGTTCACAGGGGAAACGGAACAGTTCCCACTGTTGCTCATACAGCGTCGCTAAAATTCCCTCACTAATTTTCAAGTCTTGTTTTACATAATGGCTTTTAAAGCAACTTGTTAATGCTACTGATCCTTTAATGCAACTATTAATGTCCATTTGGCGGCATCTGGGTTTCATACGGCAAAAAAAAAAAAAAGTCCAAAAGGGGAAACAAAAAATATATATATACACATTTTATATATAAACTTAAAAACCTTGTACAAATGAGTTGTTATATATAAGATGCTTATGCTAAGGGGGAAAAAAACTTTATACAGTTTCAAGAAAAAGGAAAACATATTTTAAAAGGGGACAACGTACAGGTTCGACGAGCAATCTCTAAAGCAATAAATACTACTGGTCCAACAGCGTTGTGATTCCATTAATCGTTGAGTAGCATACCCCTCCCCCCAAAAGAACAACACCATGGAACAAGGTATATTAACACATTTTAACCCTTTGTTTCTGTACATTTAAACAATAACAAGTAACATCACAATAAAAGTTGTTTCACACAGGAAAAAAAAAAACCCAAAGTAAATGGCACTGCATTCGTTGTGCCCTTATGGTTTAAAAACCAGATGTAAAATGATTGGTTCGCAAGCTCGTATTTAATACAAATAATACAGAACCAACTCCTTTTGGAGGGCTGCTTCAAAATTGCTTCTTTTTTTTTCCTTTTTGTTTTTTAATCAGTCTTTTAAAACTAAGCTATCCGAACTACATAACAGTTATGTATATATATATATTTTTTAAACGCTACAAAGACTTTAAACAGCTGTTGATAAAAATTTTGGTAGAATCATGAGGTTCTTCTCTCATCTACATATTTAAAAGGAGAAATTGAAATAAGAATGGGTCAAATATTGACCAATGAACTCGATAAACATTAACTAATGTAGCCACGTGGCACAAACTTAAGAGTACAAAACAGAACCAGGTGGGGGAGGGGGAGGCTGGGAAAGAAAGAAAAGCAAAACGCAACACTACACAAAGCAACCAGGCTCAGGAGGGTCAAGTTATTCTAAAGACTTGGTGACCAGGGAGAGCGGCTGGGGCTGGGTCCCGGCCAGGGAGTTGTGGGAATGTAAGGAAGATGTTGACGGCTGTGCCAGAGATGCGGAGGGGATGGCGGGAGGCTGCAGCGCGGCGTGGGGCAGGTCCAGGGCCCCGTTGGCGCAGAGCGCGGGGGCCTTGCCGTGGGCGGCCTCCGCAAGCAGGAGGGCGGGCGGCGGAGGCATCATGGAGAGGTGGGCCAGGGGGTCGGGCTTCAGGGACAGCGAGAGAGGCTGGGTCTGCTCAGTCTGTGACTTGGCGTCTTGGGGAGGGGAGCCTAGCAGGTGGGGGGAGGAAGGAGGCGAGTCTAGTAAGCTTCCATCTGAAGAGGGTGGACTGAGGCAGCTGCCTTCACCTTGTATGTAGCGAACGCACTTTTTTTTTCTCCTAGAAACAGGGGGAGAGAGTTATCTGTGAATAAAGGGCAAAGATGCCAAGGGAGAGTTATCTAATGCTCACAGCCAAGATGAAGTCATCTAAGGATGCCCCGCGGGAGACACGCCCAGCGGCCAGGGGACGATTAAAGTCACGCCAGGTGCCACGCTCATTTTGCTAAGCCTGCCCTGGCAAACGAGGTGTCAGACCACAGGACTCCCTACCTACCTGCTTCCCCTGCCCCCGCTAAACCCCCACCACCAGACCCTTGCACAAATACCACTGAGCAGGGTCAAGGGTACGACCTGGAGACTGTGGCCCTGATTTGCCAGAAAGGGGCTACGTTCAAATTGAGATGAACTCAAAAGCTTGTCATTTCTCTTTTGGCTTAGACATCCCCTCACTTTCCCATTAGAACCAGCCCCTCCATTCCCACTACTCCCACCTCCACCCCCCCGAGTGTGTGTGTGTGTGTGTGTGTGTGTGTGTGTGTGTAGTAAGAAAGAAGAA